CCTGAAACGGCCCAAAACTCTAACCCACTGTGCCTCTGACTAGCCCCTCAAGCCTTGAAGAGCCCTCAACCCTAAACCCTAAACCCTAAACCCTAAACCCTAAACCCTAAACCCTAAACCCCAAACCTTGAAGAGCCCTCCACCCTGCTGATCTCAGAACACAGCCCCAGCTTACTCCACCTGGTGGCTCCCGCGCAGCATCTGGCAATGGACCCATGATGGCCTCAAGGACGAATGTAAGCTCGAAGGTTTGAGGGTTGCGGGTTTAGGGTTTAGGGTTTGGGGTTTAGGGTTTAGGGTTTAGGGTTTAGGGTTTAGGGTTTAGGGTTTAGGGTTTAGGGTTTGGGGTGGATGTCCAGGGTTCTAGTGTCTTTAGGGTGCTTAGGGCGATGGACAGTTCTTGGTGCACCCAGGGACGCCCCTCAACTCAGGAGTGAGTCGAGGAGACTCATCGGTAGGCCCCGCCAGCGCCAAGAGCTGAACTTAAGACTACACCTTAGTCTTAGACTCAACCTGACCTGACACCCGAAAGTGTGGGAGAGCTCTATTCAAATCCTAAACCCTAAACCCTAAACATCCTAAAGCAGGTCTTAAACCGAACAGCCTCAAGGCTTGGTACTCGGCAATTAAACTTCACAAAATCCTAAACCCTGCTGAACCCCTAAGCCCTCAAACCCCGAAGCCCGGCACGCTTGCAAATCAGGCTGAACACTCCTGACAGGAAACGGCTTAGGCTTTGGGGTTTAGGGTTTAGGGTTTCGGGCTTTAAGGGTTTAAGGGTTTAAGGGTTTAAGGGTTTAGGGTTTAAGGGTTTAGGGTTTAGGGCTTAGGGGAACTAGTGTCAATCGGGGTTGTCCTCTTAAAGAACATAGACCCGGCCCTATACCATAGCCATCTCATCAGAACCTCTTAAAGAGGGTCATACAGTGGCATTGTTCATCAGAATAGGTTTGGGCGTATGCTCTGAAATAGCTAGATTTCTACACCCTAAACCCCTAAACCCCTAAACCCTAAATCCTAAATCCTAAACCCTAAACCGCTAAACCCTAAACCCCTAAAGCCTTTAGCAAGAAACCCTGTAATCAAACTGGTAGTTCTGCAGGCCACGAACCGAACCAGCCTCGTCTAGGGTTTAGGGTTTAGGGTTTAGGGTTTAGGGTTTAGGGTTTAGGGTTTAGGGTTTAGGGCTTAGGGCCGCAAAAGGGAGAACCTGGCTCAAGGCTTCTACACCCGAATTCAAGAACCCGAAACCCTACCTTAACCTACCAAAAACCTACTTTTTTTGGTAGGGTCCCTAGAAATTCCATATGAGGGTTTATCATAAGAGCGTACAAAAAAAGTAGGTTTTGGGAGGTTAAGGTAGACCCAAAACCCTAGACCTTCTACGCCCGAAGTTGAGGCTTTCTGTTCATTTTAGGCCCCAGCCCTGGCTCCTGGACTACACTGAAGCCGAAGTTAAGGGCTGACGGCCAAGGGTTTAGGATCGCCAGCCTAAGCGCTCGAACCCTATACTCCTAAACCCTAAACCCTAAACCCTCTAACCCTAAACCCCTAAACCCCAAACCCTCTAACCCTAAACCCCCAACCCTCTAACCCTAAACCCTTTACCCCTAAACCCTTTGAGCCTAAATCCTAAAAACTCTAGATCCCAGAGCCCCTCGAGGCCAAGCCGAAGGAAGCCTCAGGCGTCCAATGCTTCCCCCAAACCCCGCAGGACCCTAAAGTCCCTAATTTAGGGTTTAGGGTTTAGGGTTTTTTTTAATGCAATGACCCTTTCTCCGGTTTACAGTTTAGGGTTTAGGGTTTATGGTTTAGGGGGAAACTACAGGTGGGGAGTTTAGGGTATATAGAGCTTCTATAAGGCTTCCATAAGGTATATAGACCTTCTATAAGGCTGCTAGAATGGTGACTACCCACCTACTAAACTCGAAACCCTAAACCCTGAACCCTAAAGCCTAAACCCTAAACCCTAAACCCTAAACCCTAAACCCTAAACCCTAAACCCTAAACCCTGAACCCTAAAGCCTCGACTCTAAGCCCTAGACCCCAAAGTCCCTGAACCCTTAGGGTTTAGGGGTTTAGGGTTTAGGGTTTAGGGTTTAGGGTTTAGGGTTTAGGGTCTAGGGTTTAGGGTTTAGGGTTTAGAAACTCTAAACCTTAAACCCTAAAGTCCCCAGACCCTAAATGCGAGCCCCTGGCCCTCAAACCTCAAACCTGAAGCCCTGAGCCCTAAAACCTGAAGCCTAAGCCCCAAACACCGAAACCCCAAACCGTAAACCCTAAACCCTAAACCCTAAAAAGTTTGAGCCCAAACCCGCCTCTTCCTCGTCGTCCCCAGGCCCCATCGACGTGGGAGACGGCCTGCACTTCTCCAGGAGCTGGGGATGAATTCTTCAGGCCTTTTCGGGGTTCTGCCTTTTAGTGAGTATTCAGAACCCTAAACCCCAAACCCTATACCCTAAACCGAACCCTGAACCCTAAAACCCTAANNNNAACCCCTAACCCCTAAACACCTAAACACCTAAACCCCTAAACCCCTAAACCCTAAACCCAGAGTCTGCGGGCTCCTACGCCACGAAAGCAGGGCTTAGGAGCGGGTGAAGGCTCACGGTTTATTGCGATATGACCATTGGCCTCGACCCCAAGAGGGTTTCCCCCCTGAACCCTGAACCCTAAACCCTAAACCCTAAACCCTAAACTCTTTACCCGAACCCTAAACCCTAAGCCCTAAAGGGGTCTCCTGCACAGCTTAGTCTTCGGCGTTCGCGCTGCGGGCTTTCGGGTAGTTCGGTGGCGAGGGAAAGTCTCTAGCTTCGGGATCTCCGTACTTCTCCCTGGGGCTTTGGGGTTTAGAGTTTACTGCTTCCCTGTTGGGGCCATATTAAATATGACCATGCTTAATCCTTGCTGGGTTTTATCGAACAAGGACCCAGTTTACCTAAACCCTAAACCCTAAACCCTAAACCGTTAGGGTTTAGGATTCGGATCCCCGTACTTCTCCCCTGCGCGATAGGCAGGTGTTTAGGCTCGATGCAGGCGTCTCATAGCTTGCAGGAGCTCCGTTGCTCTCAAAAACGATCCGAGATAGTCTGGGGTGTGGGGTTCTAGGGTTCCGGGTTCAGGGTTTAGGGTTTAGGGTTTAGGGGGAAACTACAGGTGGGGAGTTTAGGGTATATAGGGCTTCTATCAGGCTTCTGCAAGGTATATAGGCCTTCTTTCAGGCCTTTTATAACGGTAACTTCCCATCTGAAAATGTCCTAGACATAGTGTGGATTTGGGTGCAGCTCTACAACAGCAGGCCCGAAAAACCCTCAGCTCCATCCAGGTTTCAGCGGTTGAGTTTAGGGTTTAGGGTTTAGGGTTTAGGGTTTAGGGTTTAGGGTTTAGGGTTTAGAGGGTTCAGGGCTTTTGGGTTACAGGTTTAAAACATGGTGAGGAATCGCTGTCAAGTTTGCAGCACAAGCTCTTTGTTGCAGATAACGAGTATCAGCTAGATGACAGCCCTAAACCCTAATTTAAACCCTAAACCCTGAACCCTAAACCCTAAACCGCCTAAACCCTAAAGCCCCTTGTCCACATGCATGAGGATCCTGAGCAAATCTTTCAAGTCGCTGATCATCCAGTCAATCTTCAACCGGAGGGCTCTCTTTGAGATGCCCGGCAGCCTTCAAAATGACATAAGCTTGGCTCGTGGGAAGGAGGAAACCTATCTGCTCCAGAAAGGCACCAGAGCTGGGGAGAAAGCTGAACTTCATACTCAGAATAAGGTTGTGCTGATATTACACTATGGCTTTATAGGAACTACTAAAGGATACGACAACTAGGGTTATAGGGTTTTGGGCGATATTCACAGGCGAGGTTGCACATCCCACCCCGAAAAAAATCGTGTCACCCTGGAACAAAAAGCTCGCCTTAACAAATCTCTGCAAAGTCCTACGCCCTTTGATTAACCTCTAGTACATCTAATCCCCTTACAAAAAACAAACAAGCTTACTTAAAACAAGGTGGCTTAATAATTAGGACTGGGTTTTGGGGCCCATTATACTATAACTATAATAAAGGAACCCCCAAAATTATATAGGTAATTACTGAGGCCCCTATATTTTTAAACCCTAAACCCTAAAACCCTAAACTTTCACCCGAAACCCTAAACCCTAAACCCCTAAACTTTCACCCGAAACCCTAAACCCTAAACCCTAAACTTTCACCCGAAACCCTAAACCCTAAACCCCTAAACCCTAAACCCCTAAACCCTAAACCCTAAACCCTAAGAAGAACAGCACCGAAATGCTTCGAGCTCGATGGGACCTTGCCGTTGGGACTGGGAGATCCGCCGGCGATGACCTCTGAGCTTGCGAAGGATCTTCAGAATCTTAGGCTTTAGGAGGGTTTAGGGGGGTTTAGGGGGGTTTAGGGGGGTTAGGGTTTGGGGTTTAGGGTTTAGGGTTTAGGGTTTAGGGTTTTAGGGTTTAGGGTTTTAGGGTTTAGGGGGTTAGGATTTAGGGTTTTAGGGTTTAGGGTTTAGGGTTTAGGGGCGTCAGGGTTTAGGGGCGTCAGGGTTTAGGGTTTAGGGGCGTTAGGGTTTAGGGGGGTTTAGGGTTTAGGGTTTAGGGGCGTTTAGGGTTTAGGGGGAGGGTTTAGGGGCGTCAGGGTTTAGGGGCGTCAGGGTTTAGGGTTTGGGGGCGTTAGGGTTTAGGGGGGATTAGGGTTTAGGGGCGTTTAGGGTTTGGGGGCGTTTAGGGTTTAGGGTTTAGTGTTTAGGGGCGTTAGGGTTTAGGGTTAGAGCTTCGAGGGTATTAGGTTGGGTTTCGCCATCTTCTCAAATTGGAGGCTCCTGGACTTCAGGGCCTTCTCAGCTTGCCTGGCTTCAGGTTTAGGGTTGAGGGTTGAGGGTTTAGGGTTTAGGGTTTAGGGGTTGGGGTTTAGGGTTTAGGGTTTAGGGTTTAGGGTTTAGGGTCGACGTGCTCGTCTCTGACCGGTTTAATGTGGGGAACCTTAATAACGAGAATATGGTTTCGGGGTGAATTATACTATAATTATCATAAGGAACCACCAAAATAGTGTACGTAATTCTTAAGGCCGCTACGTTAACAATCCTTCTGGAGTCACTTGCGCTGTGAGACCTTCGACCCCCAAAACAACCACCAAAGGTCGGCGTCCTGCTTGCGAGCTTTGTAGCTCTGCAAGCGAATCGAGCTTGATAAGAAGGCAGGTACGATCTGTTTTCGAGATTAAGCTCTGCTTTGCTGGACTCACTCCTTGGGCGTGTTGTTTGCTTAGCGCTCTCGCATGTTTGAAAGGCGTGTGATTGAGGTTTGCCGTAGGTTTACAGGGCTTGCTTCGGGACGTATGGCTATGAGGACTTTACCGGCTTTGTCGGCCTTTATTATAATGCAATCGAGCTTATGGGCTGTTTTGGGGTTGTATAGATTTACAGAGCTCTATGAGGGTTCTGGCGGGCCTTTCGTGGGTTGTTCACACATTGCTTTTTTTTTTGCGAAACCCTGGTCATGTCAACTCACGTGCCTGCAGGATGGAAGCCCTAGGGGGAGGGACTACTGAGAGTGCATCTTCGCTTTTTGGTTGCGGGTTTACAGCAGGCTCTCAGCGTAGAGTACATGGCCTTATACGGGTTTGATAAAGGCTGTAGGGGCTGCACCCCCTTCCTCTAGCAATCCAGATTCGAATATCAAGATCCTAGATTCAGAGGTGGGTTAATTGATCACAGGGCTACATTCGCGTAATCTTAAAAAAAGTCATGTGCAGCGGCGTGCAGGCTAATGGCTTCATCAAGCTGCTAACCCCGAAGCCGAGCGTCCAGCACTTCCTACATCCCGGTTTGGAGGTTTACAAAACCAACAAAAACCTTGATAAACCCTAAATGACCCCCCCGGTTACCCAAACCAGCCCTGCTGGGCCCCTATCCGCGCAAACCCCTAAACCCGAAACTCCACAAACGAATCCCCAAGGCATCTTTAATTAAAAAAGAACCTTCCAAAGCAGCCCTTCAAGGAACACAAAATGCCCAACTTCCCCAAGGCATCTTTCATCAAAAAAAACCTTCCAAAGGAGCCCGTCAAGGAACAGAAAATGCCCAAATTACAAACACAGACACTGGGCCGCCCTGCGGAACGGCTGTCGTGGCTGGCCGCGAGCCGGTGAAGGTGCGCTCCACGGTCCGCACTGGTACCTGGTCGGATGAAGGTGTTTTAGGGGTTTCCTAAACCCTAAACCCTAAATACTAGGGTTTAGAGATTTGGGGGCTTTAAGGGTTTAGGGTTGCTTAGGAGTTTAGGGCTTTGGGGATTTAGGGCTTCTAGGGGGTTTAGGACTTTGGGGGTTTAGGGCTTTAGGGCTTTAAGGGTCTGTAAGTCTAGGGGTGTGTATAGGGGTTTTAGGGTTTGAGAGCCCGTGTCCATAAGGTTCTTGCTTATGAGGCCTTAAACAGGTGTTAAGATGCCTTGTTTTGGCAGTAGGGTTTAGGGTTTAGGCTTTTTTATGGAGTTGAGTTTAGGGTTTAGGGTTTAGGGTTTAGGGTTTAGGGTTTAAGGGTTTAGGGTTTAGGGTTTAGGCTATGGAGGGTTGTGCAGGTTGCACTGCAAGGGTTTGGGGCTCAGAGCTCTGGGCCTTGGGCCCTGGGCCCATCACATCACGTCACATCATCCCGGTTTAGGGTTTCAGGGTTTTGGTTCAGGGTTTAGGGTTTAGGGTTTAGGGTTTTAGGGTTTAGGTTTTAGGGTTTAGGTTTTAGGGTTTAGGGTTTAGGGTTTAGGGAAAAGCTGTGGTAAGAGACACCCGCTCCAACGAGCTTTCTGAGATACCACCTCCGGGTCGCTCTAAAGCCTGCGTGTTTACGATGTCCGAAAATTTCTAAGGCTCAAAGATGTGGGGTCTAGGGGTTTGGGGATAGCTTGCTCAGAAAACCCGACATCCGAACCTTCTTAAGAACACGAAAACAGTGGCCTTGACATGAGAATAGGGCTTTTGAGCACCATGCAAAGCAAAGCATCATTGGACAAGGGACTGTACTAAGATACTTAAAATAACCACCGCCTTCCGTCAAGCTCCCGGAGATCAGACTTCGACTATTCTCTGCGGGATTCCCCTGAACCCCAAACCCTAAAACCCTAAACCCCAAACCCTAAACCCTAAACCTTAAACCGCAAACCCTCAACCCTAAACCCCAAACCCCTAAACCCTAAACCCTAAACCTTAAACCCTGAACCCGAAGCCGGCCCCAGGCTGAAGAAGAAGCGGAAAGCCACTGCAGCTGAAGAGGCTACACAAAAAAG